GAAGAAGACGAGGACGATGTTGAGGAGTCCGATGATTCGACTTCCTGGTTCTGAGTCATGATCATCTTTGGCGCGTTTTTCAAATGTTCCCTCAGCTCATCACTAGGAGAGAAAATGTTGGAGAAATGTGAGAATTCAGTGTTTCTGTGTGAACGTAAACTGCTACATTCATCATCCAATGACATTTTAGATGCAGCGAGCGTCCCACACTTTCAGGCCAGCAGAATTTAACAGAATAAACAACCATTATTTATTGCATATATTAGGAAAGCACTTTACAGTGCAGTTTATTCCAAACATAACACAGTTAAGCTAAAAGTTTTTTGATTCTGTTTGCAAAAAAATGTGACAGCCATGTTTCTATGTTTATGCTGTTTCTTGAAGTGTGGCCCTTACGTGAGTCCTCCCAGTCCAATAGAAGTGAAGAAGTTGATGGCGAAGCGAGTGTTTCTGGGATTATCACGAGGAAAGAGACCTTCAAAGAACGGCTGCAGGGTCCTGTAACACACACACAGGTCATGATTTATTGTTACGTCCTACTTCATTTACGGGCTCTTTAATTATCACTAGGAGCCAAATAAGAGCAAGAAGTCACATTTTTCTAATTACGTTTCCTTAAATTTGATTTACTACCTCACTCGACTATATCATTAACATTTAAATGTTTTCTGAGTAAAAACTTTGGCTGCCTCTGCAGCAGCTTTAGTAAAGTACAGTTTGAGTGTTGTGCGTGGCTGTGGTGGGAGTGTGGGTTTTCGTACTGGTCTTTCAGCCTCTGGTTAAGTTTTGGCAGACCCATGTAGGCACAGAGCTCTTGGAATAGGATCTTTACAAAGATCCTGCTGGACGACGTTGTGGTGTCCTCGCTCATCTTGATGCACTCCAACACCTGTGTGAGACACATTCAAAAGACAGAGAGACGGTCTAACCAGACTGGAATGAGTTTCATGGTCACGCTGGGGAGGATCTTTCTTTGCGTCCTTACACTCCACGGCACCGAATCTGTGTAGAGCAGGTGAGCGAACAGTCGGGCCACGTTCCTCAGTTTGTTGGTCTCCAGTCGGTGAATCGTGTCATACTGCTCCGAAAATATCGCCTCGAAACTCTCCATGTACTCCTTCTTCAAGAGACAGAACCTCTACACACACACACACACACACACACACACACACACAGTTAACAGATAGAAGCAGTGCTTCGCATCAAAATCAGGTTGAATGCTCTCTTTAGTTAAATTAATTACAGTGAAACTTAAGATAACAATAACAAAAAAGATCTGAGGTAAACATGATACATGTAAACATAAAAAGCTTGAGCACTTCCTTTTAGTTGTTCTTTTCTTTTAAAAAGTGCACAACAAGATTTATGTGCACCTCAGTGAAATGGTCACATTCATCGTGCAGAGAATAGAAATACCTAACAAATATCTATGAAGGGAAGATGGAAAACAACCGACTCTTTAAAGCAGGTTTCCCTAAAGCACCACTGTTCTCACGATTTTGGAGATGAAGAGTGTGTGTGTGTGTCTGCGTGTGTGTCTCACCCCAGCCAGCAGGCCAAAAAACTTCTCGTAGGTCCTCTGCTGAGCGCAGCAGTCCAGGATCATGTTGCACAGCTCCTTCTGTTCATACAAACACAACACTTTCATTAACTACAGTCAAACTACGGCAGTCACATCAACTTGCAGGCTGCGGCCAAGCTGTCAGTGGTCCTATTAGGAGTTAATTTAACATTTGTAGACTTTTGATAATGTAGTCAAAAGGTCTCTGTGCACTCTGATGTTTCTTATTATTTATGACCGCACTGTTTCAGAGACACAGAGGAGACACATCTAAAGATAACATCCGTCAATAACAACTCGTTACATTACTGTAAGTTTTTTATTGCTGGATGATTTTCGTTAGTGAAATTTTGTTTAGTTTCATCTGCCACCACTTTTCCAGCGTGCTCTTAGGCAGTGTAGATATTTTTTATGCCTTTTTCTCTCCTCTGTCTCACCAGAACAGCACCTCCTCTTTGTTCCAGACTTCCCGTCATACAAATTACACAAAGCTTTTCTCTCCTGATTAACAAAACACACACTTTAGCAGTGTGAAATGGTGCAGTGTCTCTCTCCATGTAGCATCAGAGCTTGTGAGTGAGTTGGGTTAGGCTGTCATGCTGCATTTAAGCCATTGTAAGTGAACAAATGCTTATTTATAGGGTTTCAAAAACTATGTTTACCTCCTATAGTGGTTCTTACACCTGTATGGCCTGCTAGTAATGCAGTTCTAGAGACTGCCCTACTAATCCACCACAAATGGATGTAAACAACACAGACCAGCTGAGAATTATCATCTGGGTTTTTGTTCAGATCAATTTACAAATGATTTCTTTAGACTTCTAATTCTGCCATGAAAGCTGTGAAATTGAATGGAATTTTTTCTTCAACAGTGAACTGAGTCAGTGCTTAATATCTAAGTTAGTTCAGGTCCAGACTTACATTCCATCAGCAGCTCAGTCACGTTTCACCTTCACCTTACTCTGGATATGAGATCGAACATTTCAGCCCGCATGTCAAAAATATACTTTTGGTGGAAAGGGGAGCAAACCACAAGTGTCAAGTTTCAAAGTATTAACATTCTTAGGCTGGTAGGCTGACTGAAAATAAAAATCTTTAACACTGGACGAAAGGCAGCCAAACAAAAGGTAATTTTTCAACCTGTATACCTGACTGTATACCATCTACAGTATGTTAACTACCATCAAAAGCTCCTTGATGCTATCAGGTTCAATCTCATATCCAGCTTCTTACTATTAAAACAATAAAAGACAAGAATGCTGCCCAAGATACGAGTATATAAACTAATTCATAACACTACTACTGGCTCTGCAGCACAGTACATATAAATACACTGTCATCACTTTCATTACATGACTAACAGAACGAGACGCTTCTTTTTCAGTCTCTTACAGGTATCGACCACCAAAACACTGGTTGTGACAGTGATGCAAACAACCACACACACAGCTGATTGTCCTCTGTAAGAGTTTCTCACCACATCCACACACACAGCTGACCTGCACCTGTCACCTGTCATGAAACCTACTACACGTAATTATCAGCTCAACCTCCATTACAGGAACACAAAAACAATTACAGTGGTCCCTCAAGTTGCGTTCCAAAATTAACTCGCGATAGGTGAAATCCGCAAAGTAGCCAACTTAATTTTTTTTTACAATTATTATAGATGTTTTAAGGCTGTAAAACCCCTCACTACACACTTTTAACAGTTTTCTCAGACAGGCATGAACATTTTCACACTTTTCTCTCTTATTTAAACACTCTCAAAGTTCAAACCCTCGTAGAAAAAAAAAAGTCCAGTATTATAGAAAGAAACCCGCGGTTGCCTTTGACGGTGCAAAACGTTTTCGTCGACATCGTTGTGTTTGTTGGGGAGAGTCACACAGCTAGCAATCAAAGATTTATATAAATATGACAAGCTGAACACGGCACGAGATTGATTGACAATGGTCTACAGCCAATCAGGACGCAGAACACAATATGCTGTCACCCCTTCCCCCCAAAAAAACCAGCATGTAAAATTGCACACAGAAAAAAAAATCTGCAAAACAGCGTGGCTGCGAAAGGTGAACCGTGCTATAGCGAAGGACCACTGTACCCCACGGTTTCAGCTGAATTCTCATTTTTGATGGCTAGCTGAGTGTTCAACAGCTAGCCATCAAAGGATGCACGCCAAATTTTCACCCAAACGTCAGTATCACAATAGTTTTAGATTAATCCTCTGTGGACAAACTCACAGCAAAGAAACTTTACAATTATGCGTTTTCAGTGTAAGTCTGTTTGTGGACTCACCGTTTGGCTTTCCGGGAAATCCATCTTAATCAGTTTGTGAGCACACTCCTCAAAGTCCAAGCTGCAAAAACAAAAAATCTATTAATCAATCAAACAATCGATCACAGGTGTACAATTGTGAGCTCATGCTGGTGTGTTTCTGTTTGTGTCGTTTAATCAGTCGGCTTCACTTTTTCATCCTGTTGTCCAAGCTTGTGAACCGTTTTTCAGTGAAACCATGGTAACGAGGTTGCTCATACACAGGTTTGTATAGCTGTCTTTGTGAGCGCACTCTGTGGCCTAATACATTTTCTAGCACTAAACTCTTAACTCAACCAGCATTGAACAGGCTTTTTGAAGGGAGGATTAGTCAGAGTCCTCCCTCCTAAGGTTTCAAATTCAAACAGGTCCTCAGAAAGGCACACGC